ATGAGTCAGTACATACATACTATTACTATTCATTATAAAGTATACTATTCATTTACGAGAACAAAAAGGAACTTACTTTCTATAACAAGAACAAGATAACTAAAATGTGAGATACTATTTCTTGGAATAGCAATATTCTTGTTGTGTCACGTTTTGTAACCAGAGTCTCCTGGAGGGAGAGCGTGAGTTTGTGTAGAGATCTATACGGTATTGACTATCCCACACATTGCTGCTAGCTACAGTGGGACTTGCAGGTCTACGGGTGACGAATGTCATATCATTATCAACGCCTGAAGAACATCGTGTTTTATACTAGTCAATCAATCATGGTTATAACCTAATCACATTTAACCTAAAATAACCAATTTGGTTACAGGGTAGTTAATGCATCAGTAGGTTATTTTACAAAATACTACTGTAAACCTTCATTTTCCATTACAATCATACAGTGATATTCTCACATAAGAAATGCATACTATTTTTCTTGTAAAGATGGTCTTACAAATATGGAAAACTTACACTTTATACTAGTTCAAGTACAAACATACTTTTTACAGGAGAACAAACATACTAAACAGTCGAGTCTTAGGTAGAAGACTACATTTCATTTTCAGAAGAAAATATAGGATTTTCTGGGAAGTATACAAACGTTTTACTAAACAAACAAAAACATTTGACATTAAATACTTATGAACTCGTCAACTTAAATGTTGATACTCTCTTTCAAAATAACTTGTATTTCAGGGAACCAGTAGACAGGTACATTGGACCAGGTCTGAGAAGACGGAGCATGTTCAAGACCTGTCTTTTATTTTGATATATTTTTGGTGTCTTGCAACTATGCACAGAACACATATGTATTAACTATTCTATTAATGCAATGGATGTTGTTGCTTGTTTTACTATTGTGCATTGTTATGATACTGTATATGACGTCCTCCGCCCCCGAACGTTTCCGCCGTTCTGGTATGGGGGTGTGACAGAAGTAGAGTATGATATAGCTAACCAGACTGGTGTTTTGATGTTGTAGATTTTTATTTTTTGCAGGTTCAAGTAATAGCCATTATACAAGAGGAGATAGAAGCACCACGGATTCGGACTACAAGTAGATTTTATTTTAGGTATTTCGTTGTTGCTTTAAATTGTGGTTATGAGTCATTGTAAACCCGATAATATCATGGGATGTAAAAAAAGTTGAATATTAGAATTTCGCAAATTTTGTAGAAAACTCTCATAAATCCCTAATATATTATATGGAAAACTTCGGGTAGTTACAATCAAGAATGGGGATGAATGCAAGTTCCTTCACTTTAGTAGCTATTTTCTGGATTGTATCAACATTATGAACCATAAAATCACCTTTACCCAAATGTATATGAGGCACTTCCATGTTTACATTCTTCCTTGCCCTATTAATAGCATTGTTAAGTTTTTTTTCTAGAAAAAAATAAGACAAAAATGATTACAAAATAAAAGGAGTTTTTGGAAATATATAATTCCTTAAAAGATTTTGTGTGTGTATATTTATATATATATATATATATATATATATATATATATATATATATATATATATATATATATAAATACTAAAAATATAGGTATATTGTTACTATTGAAAAAACCAAAATATATTTTAGAAATTTTAGGTTAAATATTGTTATTATTAATAAATAAATATAGATTTGTCATTATTTTTGAATAATGGATGGAAAAATGTTGGATCAAATCAATTTATGTTGGATAATGAGAAAAAATAAATAAACTAAAAGATTGCATTGTTATTTTATACTATACTAAAAGAAACAACAAATTAAACACAAATTGTACTATGACACACAGACAATTCACCGTATCAATCCTAATAAATGAAAATAAATTATTTTGTACCACATGTGCTTTCTATGCATTTGGCACATGTAATTTTATAGTTTTTTTAGATTAATAAAATCTACATGTCACATTCTAGGATTTTTCAAACTTATAAACTAAAATCCACATAATATTTATATTTAAATTAAATATGGAATGTATTAAATGTTTTAAATGATACTAATGTGTTGGTCAATTCCAATTAGAGAAATTAAATATACTCCTACTTTTTTCCTATAAATCTTCTTACCCAATTAAATAGTGACACGTGTAACATTTAATGCTCATTTAATGATATTTTAATACACTAATATGACACATGTCATCATTTAATTGGGTAGGAAAATTTATAGGAACAATTTCTCAATTAATATCATTTCTCTCGTTCCTTATTCTAAGTCCTAAAAAAACGATAATTTACTACTATCTTCATCAAATCTTATTTGAGTATTCGACAACCACCATAATCACAAGGAAGTTCATGACAAACATTTAAACAATTTGTGATTTTTGCCCATCTGATGCATACTTTAATCTATAGTTTTGTTAATATTTGTTTACACTTATAATTTCGTTTTTTTTTAGTTATTCGGTCATAGTTGAAAATCATTTTGAAGATCCCACCACGTTTCTTCCCCACACCTAATCTCATACTTACCCAGTAATAGGTACGCTTTATCTCTCCCTCATTCCCTCTCTACACATAAAATTTTGAAGTTAAATTATCTCCTTTGTTTTCAATCTCCCTAATATTATCCTTGTTTTCTCAATTCACCATTTCAGAATCTTGCTTGCTTTCCAGTAATCCTACGTTCAAGCTTCTATGATTGTTGATTTCTACAAACTTCCCCCTTCTCACAGTTCACCATGGAATCAAATGAGTCACTCTACAGATGTCAACGATAAATTCAATCTTGATATACGATAGTCTTTATATTAATAACAACAATTTAAAATGTGTTGATCTTATGTTATTTCTTGCTACCGTGTACACTGATGAAAATGCCTAAGTGAACATGTCATGGTAGAAATGTTTAAACAAAGAGAAATGTGTAATGATGTCTAATAGGTGTTTGATGAAATGTCTTGGGAAATATGTAATGTCAGAAAGGCTAATCATTATCTTCGATTGAGTAGGAATCTAGAGGCAATGAAGTAAATGTGAAGCCAATTAAGGAATATGAAAAAAGGTTGAAAAAAATAATAGATAGAAAACCGAAAGAAGTTAATTAATGAATTGGATTAAATTAATGGCTACCGAGTTGATGTTCTCATGTATTTTTAGCCTTTTCCGCCATTTCTTTATGATGTGGCGGAGCAAAGTTCACCCTTCTACGACATGCATACAGGTCATGCAAGGAACACAATATTTACCAAGCGTCCATCACCTGACCTATGATTAATAATAATAATAATAATAATAATAATAAAACTTCCTTTTGTTTTCAAGAAGTTCTATGTGAAGCATGATATGTACCTTCCAATTGTGAGATTCAATGGATCTAGGAGTATTGTTTGTTTTCCTGACATGGGTGCTAACCTAGATTACCATAGATAGTGAGAAACTGAGAACTGTGATTCCAGAAGCTTCAAACGCCAAAGGTATTATTATTATGAAGTTTAATTATTTTCTAAAATATTTAAAGATCATTTTCATTGTAATTTATATTCTTATTAAAGCATTATACTTGCAAAGTACAACGCTATAATGTGTTTATGATGTTATTTTGTAGCATTCATTTGACATTTTTTTTTATTTTAGCATTCATTTGATAGATTTTCCCACTTGATTGTTTGTGTTTCTTATTTTTTTTAATTTCCGATGGTCTTATATAATGCTCACACTGACGAATTTTAGACCCGTCATTCAGCCGTCTCTAGGTATAAATACCATCTACATGCACTCACTTATATTTGGTCGTTTTGATTGTAAAAAGTTTTTTGCATTTGGTTCTTTTTTTCGTAGCCTTTCTTTTTCGAAAATCGATGTATAATATGTATTGGTTTTGTATTAATTAACATCTAAAAATTTAGTTTACACATATCGTTATTTAGTTCAATGCAATTTCTACAATTTGAGTTTATATATATAATTAATATTATTTACTTAGCTTAAAGCAGTTTCTACACTTTGAGTTTATATATAATTAATATTATTCAGTTCAAAGTAAAATCTGAATTTTAGTTTATGTTTGATTGTTATTTGATTTAAAATAAAATGTGCAGCTTATTAAACTGATATATCAATTAAATGTTGTATTTAGAATTTGATTTTAAACTGAAATGGTTCCTTGATATATGATTTTAGCTTTTCTAGATGTCAAACAGTTTTCGGTGGCACTTTGAAGATATCCATTTATATCAATTGTAACTTTTTTTTTAAATCTATGTAAACCAACTAAATATTATGGGAAATGTGTATCTTTCTTTGTTTTATCTAGAATTTTATTGTTATTATTATTTTTTAGCATCGAACGTCATTTTGTTTTTAACCATAATGGCAACATACTTTCACTTTTAACCCGTCATGTCATCGTATTTTCATTTTAACCCATAATACCAACCTACTTTCATTTTTAACCCATCATAGCATCTCACTTTCATTTTAAAGTTTGTAGGTTATTTTTACTTTGTCAACCATATAGTACACCAAGCTAATAACTTATGTCGGTGAGTTTTCATTTAGCTTGATCTTGAGACCAACTTAATTCCTTCACTTTATCGTAATTAATTTCAATTTGCAAGTATTAAAGTACTTACTTATTCATGATTTTAATCATATTTATTTCGAAATTTTACTTTAAAATGTTTAATGTTTTAATCAACTCATACAGTATATGAGTTTCACGACTAGTAAGTATATAACTAAAAACGAAAATCCCAGTCATATACAAATTTAATGATTTCATTTTAATAATCATTAATTTCTAGTTTCATAATTTATTTGAAAGAAAATGTAGATTTTGTTTGGGCCTCTAATCGGAGGCTAAGGGACTTTTAGTAGCAGAAGCCGAAATATCAAGGGGCTAAATGTACATCTACATTAAATTTAACTCCGAATAAAATGGTTACATTTATGGTTTTCATGCGTCGTATTATTATGGGGTTAGTTTCTCCATTCTGCTCTCTGTTCAATTCCTCCGATTACAAATTTTACGTTCGCCGAAAACGGTCATCATCGGAACACCTTAAACACATTCTGAATTGAAGATACAGTAAGCACAATCTGTGAAATTTTTTCTTTTATAGTTCAAAATTTTGCAATATGTTACGATGATCGTGATTTTATTTATAATATATAGGAAAATATGGTAGATCCGGCCGTCGAAGACAAGATAGTGGCGGCGACGGAGAATAGATTTGAAGAACTGCCGGTGGAACAAAAGCGCAAGCTTAATATGGATGAGGAGGAGACACAATCTGGTTCCGGAAGGCGCCACCTCTTTGGTCGCCGGAAACCTCTGCACGCTGCTCTCGGTTCTGGAAAAAGTAAATCTCCTCAATCTGAATTTAGTTTTAGATCAAATCATATCTTTAATCTGTTGTCGATGACAATGGAATTTTTTTTACATATGACATACCTATTTCTTGATAAAAATCATGAAAATATGTAATGGATTCAATTCAGAATTTCAGATATCTTGATCTGCTTAAGTCTCTATTTTCAGCTGCTGATATTTTACTCTGGCGACAAAAGCAAATGTCTGGTGCCATTTTGGTCTCTGCAACTGTCATATGGCTTCTCTTTGAGAGGATAGGCTATCATCTTGTTCCATTTTTGTGTCACTTTCTAATACTTGCTCTTGCGATATTGTTCTTATGGTCTAATCTTTCTTCCTTCGTTAACAAGTGAGTAGCAATTTTAACATCAAGTATAAAAAGGGTCTTTTGTTTAAATTAATCTTGTACATGAATAAATGAACGCTTTTTCTTTTAATAGGTCTCCTCCAAACTTCCCTGACATTAGATTGTCACAAGAACTGTGTGATTGTGTTGCTCTCTTGCTGAAAGATCAGATCAATCAGGGGTGCTTATACTTGAGGCAAATGACCACAGGGAAGGATCTGAAGAGACTTATGAGTGTATGTATCTATCTACCCACTTTTGAGGTTCCTTATCATTAACATGGATGAATTTTATGCTACTTTTAACTACAAAAACAACTTGTGGGCATGCAGGTCATTTTTACCTTATGGATTGTCTCTGTCATTGGTGGCTGGTTTGAGTTTTTGACCCTTGTATACATATGTGAGTTAATTGCTTTCAAATCCTTAATTTTGCGTTTTGTTACATAGGACTTTAATGTAATAGGTTGGACAGGATTGGATGGGATTAGATAGGCTTTCTAAGTACATTTTTGTTGATAAGGATTATGATGGCATTTGCGTCTTTTTAACAAATAGGAGATCGGGAGTCTCTCACTATCCGAGTCCTATCCCACCTCGTTCCACATCGTTGGACTAGCAAAAAGTATTATCATTTTGGGTGAGAAAAATAAAAATTTTGTCCTATTAACAAACACTATATATGTACCTGTGCAAGTCATTTCCACATATTGACACTTTTTGGTAAGGACACTGGACACCTACACTAGTTTAATGCATGTCAAACATATTATATAATGTATGTCATGTTATGTTATGTCTTGTACTATATAGCAAACATTTTAATACTAAGTACTGACAACACTGGTGTGTTGTCAGTGTTTGTGCTGTTTTTGACAGCACCGTTATTGTATGAGAGGAACGAAGATCTTGTTGATATGTATGGTGAAAAGGCAGGAGAGGAAATCAAGGCAGCTCTTCAAAAACTCCCGCTGCCTTTTTTCAAGAACACCAAACAAAACTGATTCAAATGCAGCGATTATCGACTGGTTCCATTTTTTAATCTATTTTTAAGAAATATTTCTTTAATTAGGAGTTGACGTACTCATTTCATCCACGTGACTTTTGGCTCTACTTTTTGCTATCTGTATTTATTAGATTTAAGCCTCTGATGATATTCCACACCAACTAACTAGAATTGTATGGTTTGGCAATGTATTTGTAGAACGTATGTATGGTAGTTGGTATGGTTTACCTTTTTTTAATTATTTAGTTTTTTTATCTTCTTATTAAATGTTTCTTCGTTTGAAATTTTTTATTATATCATTTATGTATTTGATATATTTGCATCATATTAATTGTATCATTAGTTTTCAATTTCAGTCTGAATATTTTTGTTTAACTCTGTAATCTAGAAAATTTGGAATAAATTATGTAATACCCAAACAACAAAAACACATCCAAAGCTTTCAATTTCAGAAAAAAAAATACATATAAACATTCACAAAATTGGATGCATTCTCAAATACAAAAAAGTTTAGCAACTTCTAATCTTCTAAATCTCTTAACTAGGCTGCTCAACTACTCTTTTTCCCTTGTTACTACGTCATGTTCCTCACACTCTTCGATACAGTAACCATAAGTATATAGCTTAATGAGTAACCATGATAATAAATTATTATATAGCTACGTTCAACAATAACACGACAACTCAAGGAAGCTTTACTCACCAAAACTTAGCTTCAAGAGAGAGAGAGAGAGAGAGAGAGAGAGAGAGAGAGAGAGAAGAAGAAGAAGAAGGAGAAGAAGAAGAAGCTACGATTTTCATCACTTCATAAGACCAAAAGAACCAACTTTTCTCATGCATGAGACCTTCTTATATACCCTCTTACAAGCAAAAGGATACACGTTATTATATTCAAAAGTAATATACTAGATGAGAGGCATGAGGAACAAAGTATGGAGGTTGAAAAGCAACCTCCATACCCTATAGAAAAGTTACTGCCATATGGCAAAGGAAGAAGAAAAAACTTGTTTCTTGGTTCTTTTAACTAAAAGACTAAACAACTAGTAAGTGCAAGGTTAACCAAAGTGTTCAAAACTTTGTACATGACTTATTAAATCATATCATATGATATAATTACTAGTTTGTCTTCTCTTTGATTTTTATTTTCATAAAACAATAAATTTTCTCTATTTAAATACAAGAACTAATATTATTTATTAATAATCATATTAATAATAAATAAACAAAATGTGGCAACTTGATAAAGGTGTGACCCTATATGATCATAAGTTATTACCAATATCACTCAATAATGATTCTTGGGCATACAGATTCAACAATCTGCCACTTGCACAATATTCATTACAGACTGACATAGACAGTAGGTGACGTCTAGCAATGGGCTACTGCCCCTAACAACATATGAAGGGTATCATCTTATCAACAACCAATTCTAGGAGCTCTAAGCTACAATTGTTACTAAACGTGCGGTATCCGTTATTCTTTTGTCTCGGAAATCATGTTGAACATGAGATATGAATCACCATCAATCTCATTTAGTGTTCAAATTTTAGTAAAGCCTTAGATGTCTAACTCTCAACGAATAAGAGGAACAAATCACATCTTAACTACATACGTTGATCATTGTAGTTCATGTCGTACCCAACGATAGCCCTTACGACTACCTTTTATGGAACAACGTTAAACCATGTCAAAGCACAACAATTCTTACACTTCAAGTCCGAAATATGTATCTTAGGTATAAGAATATAAAGATACAGCTTTAATCAAAGCATCACGCATGACTACGATGCATAAAGAGATTTTGGTATGGGTCAAGGTCAAGTACTTTTTCTCCTAATCAAGTACCTATGAAGTTGGTAGCAGCTCTTTCTATTCTCATCTCCATGATAATCAACCAATCCACTTATATTAGTCTTACCTCATAAATGCTCCCATAACTATGAATGAATATGAACATTTTGAATAATCTAGTTATTCAAGGATTAAACATGCTAATATAGAACACAATAATTATTTAATGAAAGACCATATCTAGTATATCAACTCATTACAATATATATTGCTTATATCGTTACAATATCCAAATACTAAATTTTAATCAAATACATCTACTTACATCAACAACTCCTATAGCACCAGCTAATTAAGGAGCTTTGTTAAGTTGGTTTGACAAACTTGATTGGTATAAACTTTATGAATACAAACATT